GTCCACCATTTAAACGATAAGTCATATAATATTATTACGGTCGAAAATATAAATTAGCAATAACAATATTCTTATTTATTTTGGACTATTGTGTATTGTTTCGCATTTGTGCACCTGTCGAGTTTGTAATTTTCGTTGTCATATGAAGTGGAATTTTTCCCAACAATTTGATTGCAGAAAATTAGTTACATAAGGTGACAAGTGATATAATTATTATTTATTAATCACAAAGCTAGCTAAGTATATATAGGTATAAGGAAAATTATATTATTGTTCGTGTTTTTTACTCCGGGTGCCCTTTTTAAAATGAGAAAACTAAGAGAAATTTGATCAGAGTGTGAATTAAATTAAAACAAAGGACAAAGAGTGGAAAAGAGTGATGATGACAATTTGTACTCGAAAAATTTGTTGTCAATTTGTATACATTTTAAAGTAAGTGACAACAAATTTATTGAGGTTGTCGCTTTTTGCTACTTAAAAAAGATGCCGAGAATGGAATGGCTCTTCACTAAATAAAATAAAGAAAGAAAAAGCAATTTAATTCCTATAACCATTCAACTAATTTTATATATTTTGATTTATGAAAAAATTTACAATTATTCCCTGAAAGTGTATTTTGGTGAAACTCATCTTTAGGTTGTCTATAACTAATCGTGAGAAGATCAATAGGCAACTCGATTGGGATTGTCTCCTTATAATTAACAACTAATACTATGAGACCATCTCACAAATCATTCGTGAGACTGATTGAATTCTTCATAAGTATTACACTTTCTCTCGAAAATAACTTTTCAACCTCTAAATATTACACGGAGTACATTTTGATTTTTAAATATTACATTTTTTTTTAAAGTGTCACACTTTTTTTTAAGTATTACATTTTCCCACGTAAGTAACATTCAATCAATTTATTCATAAATTAGTAATTTAGTATTACACTTATTCTTATAAATATTACTACATTTGCTGTCAAAATTAAGCAATAAAATAATACCCGAAAAATATCCAAAAAGACCAATAGAACTTGTAATCATAATCAAAAATGTTTGACTAACTTGGTTGAAGTTGAGAAATGATCACTTTTAATTTGACACGAAGTACGTACCAAATTGTATTACGTTTGATATGATATCACATTTCGAATCCATCCAAACTCATTATACTGTCTTGCGGAATTGCCGGTTAGTAAGGTTAAAAAAAAACAAAAAAAAAAAACAAAAAAAAACAAAAAGAAAACAAAAAAATAAAAAATAAAAACTAAAGGTAGCTCAAAAATTAGCTCTTCTATCATGCATGGGAAGGAATCAGAGTGGATAGAATTATAGAAATAATTAAATAGTTTTAAAAAATAAATAAACTCTCCGCCTCTCCTCCACAGATCTGATATGTCTCCATGAAAGTGAAGCATTCCTGGATAATTATATAATTAATTTGAAAGCAATGACTTTTCCTCTTATGAAAAATATTGTACTTACAAGTATTAAATACATATCTATCAAATAATTAGTTTGACGTCTCAATCATACAAGTATTTATATTGTAAGTTTTTTTTTTAAAATTATTTTTATGTTATATATCTTTTATTTAATTTAATAAGGGTATTTCCGACAATCTATATGAATTTGGAATAAGGTTTAAATTAGTCACTGAACGTAATCTGAAAGTACAACTTTATATTTATAATTTTAAATAAAAATAAATTTAAATAAAAAATAATATCATAAACTAATAAAAAATTTAAATTTAAAAAAAAAAAAAAATTGACCTCAACTGTCGAATGACCATTGAGGTCAAACAAATTAGCAGCCACATGCTGCTGTTTTGATTAAAAATAATAATAATAAAGGGCGCATAAAAAAGTGACGTGTGTCGACTACACGCCAAAGAAAACAAACTTTGAAGATGACAGTCTCTCCGGAGGTTGTCTTCTCCCTCCCCAAATCCACCCCCACCCCCGCCCCCACCCCCGCCCCTGCCCTTCTCCCACTCTTTCTCTTCTCATTTTAGAGTATTGAAGATGTCTTAAGGCCATCTCTAACGAGACGGCAAATCGCCAAAAAATTTGGCGTAAAGCAGCAAAAACAGGGCTCCAATGGGACGCTAAAACACCAAATAAGTTGGTGTTGATGGACAGTGTCGCGCCATATATGGCGTGACACTGTTCACCCACGCCATTTTCTAACTACTCTTTTCATCCTATTTTGTCCATGCTTTGCCCTTTATCTTCTTTTATAATTCCTTTTGTATCCTTTTTGGTTTTTATATATTTACCTGTTTTGTTAAATATTTAAACATAAATTGTATATTATTTAAAAAAAAATTATATCATTAAAAAGATCTCATCAAGACGATTAAAACAAGACTAATATTGAATATAATTTAATTAAAAATAAAATTACATAAAAATAATTAAAGTTTAATTTATTAAATTACAACTGTATGTTATATTAAAATAATAAAAGTATAAGTATAAACTTTTAATTTATGAGAATATAAATTATTTTAGTGTAGAAATAAAATTTAGTGTAGAATTTGATGTAAATGAGTTGGAGATGAAAAAAAATTTGGTGTAAGAATATGTTTTGGAATATTTTTTTTAGTGTAAAATTTGGTGCAGAATTTGATGTTTTGAGTTGGAGGTGGTCTAAGCAATCGTTATACCTTGCACCACGGCGCGCGCAGCACTGTACTGTGAGCCCCACGCCTCCCAAAATGACGTCGTTTTGGGAGGCGCGAAAGGGAGTTGACGTGATTATGTGTATTTGTTTATATCATTATATGTATTTGTTTATACAATTATGTGTATTTTTTTATACAGTTATATGTATTTGTTTATACAATTATGTATATTTTTTTTTATACAGTTATATGCGTTTGTTTATACTATTATGTGTATTTTTTTATACAATTATGTAAGACGACGTCATTTTGCATCAAGACGCACAATGCAATGCGTGCCATGGTGCACGATATAAATTGTCTGGTTTAAGAGAGATCAAACAAGGTTAGTTGGCCGGAAATTTAGTACTACTAATGGGCTTCTGCCCCCGAATAGGGATAGTTATGTCGTGCATCCGTATGCACCATGGTGCATACGGATGCCAAAACGACGTCGTTTTATTAAAAAACGCGCGTCTCCCCTTTAAAAAAATTCAGGTTCGATTCCCAGCAACAACATTATATTGTTCATTCATTCTGGAATTTTAGTTTATAGATTATGGAATTATAGTCCATTGATTATGGAATTATAGTTCATCGATTATGGAATTGTAGTTCATCGATTATGGAATTTTAGTTTATAGATTGTGGAATTTTAGTTCATTCATTCTGAAATTTTTAGTTCATAGATTAGATTATGAAATTATAGTTCATCGATTATGGAATTTTAGTTCATATGTTGTTGCTGGGAATCGAACCTGATTTTTTTTTTAAGGGGAAACGCGCGTTTTATTAAAACGACGTCGTTTTTGCATCCGTATGCACCATGCACCATGCACGGCATAATTTGCCCCCGAATAGATACCCAAAAAGATATATATGAAATTTCAATCATTATTACATGGACCATGGTCCAATTGTATAGATCATAAATTAAAAGTACATTTTTACTATACTAAAGGTACATTATTTATGTACTTAAGTACATTTTTTAATATACTAAGGGTACATTATTTATATACTTAAGGTACATTTTTTAAAAGTATATTTTTAATACACTAAAGGTACATTATTTTATATAATGTATCTTCAGTACAAAAATAATATACTTTCAGTACAAAAATAATGTACTTTTAATATATTAAAAATGTACCTGATATTCATAGTCCACACAATAATTTGTCATGAAATTTAGACCAATCAAAATAAAGCCCAATTTCAGAATTTCACTGGCTTGAGCCCTATCAATGCTTATATGGTAGACCAAAGTTCACGTAGCCAGAAAACTATTTAATAATGATTTATTTTTAATATATATACTGCAAATTCATTCTAATGTATTATTATATGCTAATTTTAACTTAAAGTACTTTAAAAATTAATTTATAGTACACTAAAAATAAATATGTATAAAAATATAATAAACTTATCAAAATAAAATTGTAATGTACTAAAAATATGTATCAATATTCACCATACAAAATAGACCATATGATGCATGGTATAATTTGTCGAGACATAAACTTGGAAGACTTGTTTTTCAGAAAAAAAATAATAATAATAATAATCTTGAAGACTTGAACCAACTACCAATCTACCATAGATATCTCTTCAAGTATGAAAGTGACTTCGCAATAAGTTGTCCCAGCTGGAATGAATAGGACAAGGAGTGGAAGATATTTTCCCAATTACAAGACAAAGAGTACCATATCAGTTGTTGGTATAGAAAATTTTGTTCAACACATGAAATGCAGATTATAATTATTAAAAAAATTTACATTTTTCGTCTCTAAATTATTGGATAATTGTAAAATTCGTCACTAAGTATTGGTCATACTCATTTTTCGTCCCTTTACTAATAACATATTAGCGACGAGATTTACAATTTTAGTATAACTCAAAGACAAAAAGTGAGCATGACCAAACCTTAGGGACGAAAAGTGTAATTTTTTCTAATTATTATACTACTAGCATATTTTGTCGTTTAATAGCTCTTCAATTTTCAGCTCCGAGCTTATAGCTTTTCAGCTTTCAGCTCCTTTTCAGCTATCAGCTCCTAGCTTATAGCTTTTCGGCTAGGTTTGCCAAACAGAGCCTATACCATTAGAATTAGATTCTTGCATGAAAAGCGAATTTTGGAAATCTAAAGATAAAAAAAATATTAAATCAAGAATAAATGGTAAACAATGCATGAATAAATGATTCATTTCTCCGTTCTTGCACTAGGAAGACGTTGTGCATAGACTCAGTTAAGAATGTGACTTGGTACAAAAATTATATTTTATCCACTCAGTCACTCCTTTCAAGTAATTTGTGTGTGTGTATTGAGTTGTGGAAGAAAATTATTTAGATGTACGATGAAAGCTGATAAATATCTTCCCAAAAGAAAAATATCTAGGCAATTAAGCTACATAGTTGGTGAGCCCTAGCTGGTATTAATTCCAATTAATTCAATCAGATCGAAGAGAACATCGAATCAAAGTAGGGCAGAAAAGCAAAAGTGAAGATCGAAATCAATCAAGGAATTGAAATGGCATGCTGCGGCGGCAAACCAAACCGAAGCGATGTTCATCTGTCGGCGCAGGAAGAAGCTGCAATGGAGGAAGCCACCAGGAAGCACTTCGATGACTTAGCTCCAAACCGCCACTCTAAACCACACAGAAGCGATTACTCTTCTACGTATACGGATACCTATTTCAATCGCGTTCATGGAGACGGCGAAATCCCTGAACTCCTTCAATTTCAACGCCTCGAAAAAGATCAACAGGTAACTATATATCTCTTTTTTTTGTAACCACACTTTCTATCTTGCCGATAGTATAGTTACAATTATATATTATATATTTCGCCACATATTGCCAAGGAGGATACCCCAACCTGGGATTCCATTATTAACTTTGGACTTGGAATACCCCGTCCATACTTGTAGTAGAGTGTTAATTTTTCTTGTCACCAAAAAAAACAATTACAATATTATTTATTTTCTATGCTTTTTTGGATGTAGAAATTATGTTATAGTGAAGGCCAATTGAGGGAGGAATTTGTGGAAACTGAGTATTACAAGGATCTGAATTGCGTTGACAAGCAACACCACACGGTATAATATTATTATTATTATTATTATTATTATTATTATTATTATGCTACAAGATCAAAAGTTTTTACCAAATCTTTTTACTATATGAGATGACAATAAAACTTTTTGTATTCATTAGTTACATAACCCATACATTAAAATTTTTAAATTAAAAAAGGAATATAACTTGGAAAAAGATATCCGAATGGATGAAGCATGCATGACTATCATACCAGAAGGTCACCAGTTGATTGAGTCCATCTCACATGATCTTTCTAGTGCAATTTACTTATTCTGCGTGTTTTGTGGACTATAACACATGACTAAGATGCACACACTTTCAGTAGTGATTGCGAGTCTCTCTTATTATCACTCAAAAAAATACTTATAAATTCATATTGTCAAGTCATATAGTGAAGATTTGTATTGGTGCTCTATTTCTTTGTTGGGGTTACTGAGGTAAATTGGTATTATATTTAGACTGGAACAGGATTTATAAAGGTGGAGGGGGCATTGCCGAATTCCTTCAAAATAGAACCTGATTCTGATGCCGAGTTTCATGCCTCCTGCAAGGGAAATCCGGCCACCAATGAATGGATTCCGGCTCCCGCCGATGCAGTGAGTAATTCTTTATTAGACTCCAACTTTTTAATGTGTGTACATATTGAATATTTCCTAAAACAAATATTTTATTTTATAAAATACAGTTTGCATAGCCACCCAGTATCTTTACTATTACCAGACTAATTTAGATTCGGCTTGAATTTCGCTTGCAAAATTTAACTTTTTTGCATTATTTAAACATTTCAGATCAACTTTATCTCAGACAAACCAAGTAGAAGTGACAATTGAAAGAAGAGTGAGACGTTTAGTGTGAGACGTCTAATGTTACAATTCTGCATTTTCCGATGAACTTCAATGTATTGCTATGACAATAATTACATTTAGAATAATTCCTGTGATTTCTAAATATTGTATTGGTAGTATTTCACAATCTATGTATTCATGTTCCTCCAACTTATATTTAAATTATTCTCCGTATCTTTTTTATTGAAATGATAAATATCTATCAATGAACCAAACCCTTTCTACTTAAATAAGACAATATATGTCTATCAAAATCGAAGACTCAATTAAACACAAAAAGTAACTTAAGACTAAATCGAGTAAAACCACTTAATAAATGCTCTATTGATGAGCTGAACCCTTTCTACTTAAATAAAACAATAAATGCAACCTTTTCTATTTAAAGAATAGTAAGTTAACTATAAAGAAAATCCTTTCACCTCCAATGAACAAATTCTAATGTTACAATAATGTACATTTGAAAGAAATTTCATGATCTCCTATCTAGTTTAAGCTAATGATATCAAACCTGCTGCAAAACTATGTTACAAGCAAGGTCAAAGGTATGGAGAGATTGGCCAAAGTACAAGTTCTCAACCTGTTAATCATGCCTGTGACTAGTGTACAACAAGATTTTGGAGGAAATGCATGCCAGCCATGGCCTCCTAGGAATGTTATTAAACGCCGGTAATGTACAAGCTGGCCGCGAAGACAATATCGCGTTTTATAACGTTGGAAGCTGTTTCCATTTTCTTGTACAGCGCGGAGTTGCCCATGATTGCAGCAGCATTTTTGAACTCTCGGCATGTCTCGTCCAGTCTCACGATGGTCCTTACTATCACGCCTTCTGGGACGTCTGTGAGCTCGCATATATCTGCAAATGGAGTGCCCTGCCACACGAAAAACCAAACGTTAACAGAAATCAAAGAGGCTCGGTTCATGTGTGCACTGCAAGAGTGTGCACGAGGCAGAGAAAGCCCGAGAGAGTGAGAGAGAGAGACCTTTGCCCATTCGTATACCACTTCAACGAGGCCAAACTTTAGATTTTCTTCAGCATACTCCTTGGGCTCAATCTGTAGTTTAAACTGCGTTTGGAGCTCCCCTAGTCTTATTGCAGTGTCGTACAACCTACATGCCATAGAAATTTATGGCCATTTAAGTTAACATGAATGAAGGAAAATCCTAAACGCAATCACGGGGATACAAATAAAAGTTCATTCATGTGTAAGGATTTGTATGTATGTTGAAGGAGAGCGGGGTGGGGTGACGGGCTCAAAAGTGTACTAGAGAAACTAACGACAATCATCTTGTTCAACATACGTGATGCGACACAACAAGCAATTAATGAATGAAAACGAAGTAGTGAAAATCCTGCAGAATTTAAACATTTTAAAAAGCCACTAACCTCTTTCTAGCCTGAGTGAGCTTTGGCGTGAGGGAGGGTGCTTTACTCTCTTTCTGCTGAAACACAAAGGCAGACATGATGGCTACTGCTTCCTCTGGTTCCAAATCATCCATTTGATTCTCGAACAGGCATTCAGTGCATATCAGCTCCTCCCCGGAGTTCATTTCACAAGCCACACGACCTTTTATTTGAACTACAAGATCAGCGTCTATACAGCCAATTTCCTTCAATACATCTATCTGTAAAGGAACATCTGAATTGTTAGAAAGTATTTTTTCGATTCCATTGTATTAAAAGAACTTTGACTATCTTTTTGTTCAGTGAACATTGAACACAAATTCCATAGTCCATACCCGGCCCAGAAAGTCAGGCATCTGCTGAAGTGCCTCGTCTGACATTTGAAACTCCAATCTTTCCAATTCCTCCTTGTGCCTCTTCATTTCTCCAGCTAATTTAATGTTCTCATCCAACTTAACACATCCATGGCACTTATTTTGTGCCATCTTTTGCAAAAGATTACTCCATTTGTAATAAGCTTCAACGAGATCCACGTCTTTCAACTTCAGGTCTGGTATTCAAGTTTCATTAGACATAGAAACATAGTTAAGCCAATGAAAGAGATAGATACATTTTATGGAGTAAAATAAGCACATGATGATAGGTATAAGAAGATAAGCTGGTCTATCCCAATTGTTATACCATGGAAAAGGGTTCATATTGCATTGTGAACCCTCATACAAAAATTTTGTACCTTCAGTTAACACATTTTGTACCTACAGTTAACAATTTCTGTACACGTAAACAAATAACTTGATAATTGTTGACACATAATATGATAGCTACAGGTACAGAAACTATCAACTGCGGGTACAAAATGTGTCAACTATAGATACAGAATCTGACTTGATAATTGCTAACACATAATATGATAGCTACAGGTACAAAAACTATCAACTACAAGTACAGAATGTGTCAACTATAAATACAGAATCTAAAGGTTATTTTTGGATCAGGGTCTACAATGCAAGGTAGACCCTGGTCCATGGTATAATTTGCCGGTCTGTCCAGCCTCTGGGAAGTACAGTATGACTGGAAGGTTTTCATGCCATAGAATCAAATGATCCAAATGTTATACCTTCACTAATTTCATAAAAACCTAAGCAAGAACGGAAAAGGTAAATAATGAATGTCTAGACTGCTAGCTCATGTTTCCTCGGTGTAAAACGAGTTTTGCCACACCAACACTCCGATGTTACAGAGAATGTCTGAAAAGCATTGTATTATATTTATCACGGGAATAGATCGAGCATACCTCTAACTGGATCTAGGGCAGGAGGGTACTTATTTCCTTGAGATTTTAGACCCAGCAGCTGTTGGACAGTATATGAGTATGCTCCAGCGCTAACATCTTCAAGAAGCCGGACTTGATCAATTTTTATTTTGACATTGCATATGCAGAGGAACTCCTTATTCTCAACACCTCTAACCTCATAATTTACTCCAGCAGCATTACCATGGTGAGGTAACTTAATGTTAATAATGCCTGATCCTTTGCGAGACGTGACTGATGTGTTATACTCATCATCTAACCCACGCTTTGATTTAGGTACCAATATCTGGAAGTCGGGACCTTTTTTATCATTCGGTTTACCTGTACCTGATTGACTTTGCACCGTTGAGGGTAATTCAGGAGTCAGTACTAAAACTATGTATTGCTTGTTGTTAGAAGCAGGTGTTTTCACCACAACACCTAGTAAGTGGTCTTGTCCCTGCCAATTGAGAGGGAAAAAAAAAAAGCCATTAGTGAACATTTTGACACGTTATACCAGGAGTTCAACCTTTTTAATGTTTACTCAAATTATTTTCGATCCATTGTTGCACCTAAGGTTTAGAGAATAAAGAACAAGGTAAAGGCATCATTGTCTGTTTACAAATCACTTAACTTTGGCTCTAGAAAATTCAAAATAATTAGAAAATAAGTTGTTTGGGAAGACACAAAATTTGGAGAATAAAGAACAAGGTAAATGCATCATTTAAGTTAAAAAGTAAGTAGCAGGCAAATGCTGGTACAATTTTACCTGTTGTGATCTTACAACCACCACTCTTCCAGCATTAAGATACTGTTGAGCAACCGGGGACTGCATGACTGACTCTGATATTCGTTTACTATACATTTCAGCCTCTGAGTACATATCAAAGTATTCCTCAATTGCCGGTTCACCCTTTATGCACCTATATTGAAATACACACATAGTCACATACAAACACACAATGTTGAATTATTCACATACCAAATTAGAAAGTAATGCACATTCCTTTAGGGGTAGCATATGAAAATAAGTATATGATCACATACATATGTGCTAGTATGCTTTGTATGTTCACAAATTTGCACAACACATAGTTACAAGTTAAATGAAAATTAGGCATTCTTACTCAACAGATTTCTTAGGCTGAGCACGTTTTCGCATCAAAAGTTGTTGCCTCTCTGGCAGTTTCTTCTGAGCATGAAATTCAGCAAAACTTCTTTTTAACATGTCCTCCACCTACAATGGTTTTCAACACCATTAGCCCGTAAAATTATTCTCAAGGATAAGTAATAGTGAACACAAGAAATACTGGCCTTTTGGTAGTACTTTTATTTTGCCTATGTTTTGTGTCTAAAAGCAAAACCATGTTTTTGTTTCATTCAAAGAGAAACAAGAAACATAATCATGTTCAGTATCAAATTTCATTTGTAAAATGGCGTATGGGCTATCAAATATGAAATTGGATGGAAGGTGAGTTATCGTGGGTGGACAATGTTGAGGGAGATGGGGAAGGTGGGGGTCCAAAGTTGAATGTATGTAGGGGTCAGGGGAGAGGAGGTTGGGGTGGGGTAGGGTACATGGAGAAGGTGAAATATGGATGAGGTCAAAGTGATGCCGATGCAGCATTTTGGTTAAGAAAGGGGGATATGCTATGTGAGGATTGGGAAGTATTGGTAGAGTGGGTCAAGGAGGTTAATGAATCAAAGTGAGGTAGATGTGACATTGGCAAAAAGAGGTAGGGTGGGGATAGGTTGGAAGAGGTGTGGGAACAGAGAGGAAGGGGGGTATGGTGGGTTCAAGGAGGGTGGTGATTCGTTGATAGTGTTGGATATTGAAAACAAAAAACAGAATCTTTTTTTGTGCCATATTTTGAAACCGTTTTTTTTTTAAGTTATTTCACAGGATTTGAAAACAAAAACAAAAAAAAACAAAAAACAAAAAACAAAAAACAAAAAACAAAAAAAGAGGAACAAAATATTACCAAAATTTTCAAAATTATGTACCTTAAGCTCTTCAACACGAAGCAGATGGAGGATCATGATGTAGGTCAATCGAAACTGAGATTCAAGCTTAGTTGCACTACCAACCATAACATTCTTCAAATCCCTCTCTTCAGGGATTTCATCACGACACAACACAACTACTGTACCGATTTTATCCAGTCCTCTCCTTCCAGCACGGCCAGCCATCTGAGTATACTCTCCAGGAAGTAATTGTCTGAATTCCTTGCCATCAAACTTCCTTAATTGATCAAACGCAACCTGCCATAAAACAGAGGCCGATGACCAGATAAGTAGGAGATATCCAGAAGAGATGGTAGCTTACTAATAATGCTACAAATGCATTGAACAATAAAATAAAATAAAATAAAAATTGATGATGGTAAAGACAAGTACTGCTCTTCCAAGCAAAGAGAAAGGGGAGTTCAGTGGACTGTGAGGGCAAAACAACATACAATGACAAAAAATATTAGTTTCAAAGAAAATAGGAAAAGCACTTACT